CACAACTGAACATGCGCCCCTTTTATAACCCCTTATTTAGATCTTTTGAATACCAACGCAATTAAATACGAATTCAATACGAAGAGAGTTTTCCAATGTCAATACAATGCAATAAGTAATAGCAATCCAATACATCTGTATACTTGTTATTAATTCACATCTTTGGAATATCAATGCAATGCACTTGTATTATTATCATTATTATTAATTATTAATTATTAATTATAATGACACTATAAATACCAACTCAGTGTGTCAAAATATAGCAATTTGACTGTCCAATGTGTCAAAATTGGGCAATTCTAGATCTTCCAAAATGTGCAACATGGCAAACAATCCGCATGGGTATTCATGGCGAACAACAAACATGGGTATTCATTAATCTTAGAGTTAAAAATATCTCATTAAACCACATATCCAACGTGGCAAGAGAGAGCAATTCTGGAGCTCCAAAATAAACCAATTTTATAGTTAAAAAAAAAAAAATTGTCCTACTTGTCACTCAAATAGCTATGCTTTTACCTTTGAATTTGGAATACCAATTCAGCAATTAATATCTCTCTACAACATCACCAATAAAATTCAACCACATAGCAACCACAAATCCTATATGTCAAAATGAAACAATTATATGAGTTTCAAAACGTGTCACATGGCAAACAACCCGTATGGACAGTAGCGGATCCAAAAGAATTTTGTTAGGGTGGGCCAAAATAAAATATAATAGCATATAATATTCATATTCTATGTTTTTAGTTGAAATTGTCATAAAAAGAAAAAAAATTCCATATAAATATTTTTTTTTTTAAATTTGAGTGGCCCACCCTCAATATACTATAGATCTGTCCTGTGTATGGATATTCAGTTATATATATATATATATATATATAGTTCGAATTTCAATTAGTATTTATTTGTTTAATACATTTTTTGAATATTTATTAGAAGGATATTTTTATTATTTCAGTTATTAAAACAAAAATACTAATATTTAAAACGAGTGTCCTTTACGTAAGTACGTTGAAACCACATGATGGAATACACTATAGATGTAAAAGGAGAGAGAGTATTTATGTCCTCATACGGTCATACCTCGGTGGGATAAAATTAATATAAACATGGAGATGCGGGGTATCGATCCCCGTACCTCTCGCATGCTAAGCGAGCGCTCTACCATCTGAGCTACATCCCCTCATGAAACCCACTATTAAAACAAAGAAATTATTTATTACTTATGAAGGAAGGAGAGGACCTTTTCTTAGATGGCTCACATGATTTTATTATAAAAATGGAGTGTAATATATATATGTATGATATATTAATGAGATTTATTTAAAGAATTAAATAGAGAATCCAAAGCAATTGAATTAAATTAAATGCTTTAATTAGGTTTAAATCTCTGAAAATGAGTCGGCTCCCATTCACTGAAGCAGACAATTTGGAAGGTGACTAACCTTTTGATTCCACCCTCCACTTGGCTATTCATGCATGAAGACAGAGACACACTTTACTTTAGATTACTCAAATCAATTAATATTATTCAATTCATATATATGTTGAATGATTCTTTCTTATCTAGTTAGTGAACTAATTACCATGGTAATTATGTTCTTACTTATTACAGTTTAATTCCGATGGATAGGTTTATAGTTTGCTGACATAAGGTATGTGGTTTGAGTCTTTTATAACTACTTACATGATTAAACATTATTATTATTTTCCGCTTCTTTTAAGATTGGAAGATACGGCGGAAACCTTAGTTTCAAACTCGGAATATGTTGAAGCAAAATCAAAGATTTTTCTTTATTCTAATTTGACTTGGAGAGACAATATATTGTAAATTTTACTTATATATGAATGGGAACGACATGCTCTAATAACCTCAAAAAGTTGGCCTGACGGTCAAAGAGATTTGTTTCGTTCCTTGAGTTTTTTTATTCAAATCTTGTGACCACATATCACAATAACATTATAGTTTACTTGGTCTTTTGAGTTTATAGGGTATTCAATAGACTCCGAAGATTAATTAAGATGCATGTAAACTGGCCCAGGTATCCCAGTTACAAAAAAAAAACAACATGCTCTAATTAGCTACATGACTTAGCCAAAGTTATAAAATTAGAAAAAGATGAAGAAGAATACAAAATAAATGATGCAAGGCAAAAGGGTTTCATTTCAAGTCCCTCACTCTCTTAACGCTGGTTTAGACTTATGAATTGAAATGCTACATTTGTTGCCTTACTAACCCTGGTTAATCATCAAACCCAGGTGTCTGTTTTCCACTTCACACTTGCATGCATTTTTTACATCTTACTAATTAACCCTAAATAGCTTCAAATTTTCTATCTCAACTTTGATAATTCAATTAGGGTTGAGATCTTTAACTTAAATGACTAATTTAAATTTACAATTATAAATACATTGTAATACGACTAAAATAATATATATCTATGATCCCGACAATCGAACATCGACTTAAAAATATCATTTTTCTTCAAGTAATATTATACATAAATACACCCATAATTTTTTTTTAAATAGTTTTATTTTAGTCCAAACTATCTAAAAATATATTTTATTTTCATGTAAATAAAATAATCAATTTTTATAATACAAATCTTATTATCATAAAGTAGTATTATTACACTCTTACATCTTATATATACATTGTAATACGATTAAAATAATATATATCTGTAATCCTAATAATCGATCATCGACTTAAAAATATCATTTTTCTTCGAGTAACATGTTCTTGTAAATAAAATGCACCTTTATAATAATTTTTTATAATACAAATCTTTTTATCAGGAAGTAGTATTATTACACTCTTACATCTTATAAAAAGGAAAACGTTAAAATCTATTAAAATTATCAAAATTTTTAACTATTTATTCTCTTAATAAATTTATCTAAAAAGCACATGGCAAAAAAGAAAAATAAATAAATGATGATAAAAGAAAATTCTATAAAAACCCTATAAACCAGGCACCTCTTCAATCCATTTGAGTGACTCTCACATTCAAATCTCAATCTCTTCACTCTTCAAGCTCACAAAAATGGCAGCAGCGAAACCCAATTCCGCCGGAAGCTCAAACATCGGAGCAGTCAAAGACACATGGCTGAAGCACGTCAACATTCGCCGCCGTGCCTTCATGTGTAACCGCTGCAAAAAGACTTTCCCCACCCCAAACGCCTTGGGCGGCCACCAGAACGCCCACAGGCGAGAGCGCCTCGAAGAGCGACGAGTCGCTATGGAGGAACGCGTCTTTCGAGCCATCGAAGACAACCCGGTTCTTTACCCCAACGATCACGGGAGCCAAGTTGAAGAACAGAACCAAATCATTGACTACTTGGCCAAGCCAGCGGCGAAACCAAACGGGTTCGGGACAGGTGAGGTGGCGTCATTGCCGTGGTTCGGGTTTGGTGATGAGTTTGTTGAAGATGAGATTGTGTATTTGTGGGAGACTGAAGAGACGATGAAGAAGTATGAAAATTTTTTTCTGAAGTATTTGGGTGAATCCAATGATGGTGATGATGAGTACGTGAAGGAGATTGAGGTTGTGGCGTTTTCAAATGAGGAAGGAGAAGTTTGGAAGAAGGAGGACGTTGTTCTTCCAGAGCTGAAACTGATGAGTGATGAGAAAGGTGAAGCTTCTTCGAGTTCAAGGGGCGCCATTAATGGAGCTGAAATTGATGACCTGGACTTGACTCTGAAGCTCTAATAATTATTAAACCTCCTAATTACTAATAATTATGTGTTAATTAATTATGCTTTTTGTTCTTTAATTTATGTTATTGTTCTTGTCTTGTGTTTTGTTGTCTTGGATTCAAATGTAAATCTTTCTGTTCTATATAATATATAAAAGTATATGAAGTCTGTGCTCTTGCTAATAATATTCTAATTGTAGATTTTCATGAATATTAATGAAGAAGTCAAACAATATTTCTATAGTATACATGGCTGTACTGATACGATAATATTCGAAGAAAATTAATGAAGAGAAAATTAAATTGCTATCCTCTAAGAATGGCACCCATAGAACAAACTGAATCTCATGGAGAGTTTGATCCTGGTTCAGGATGAATGTTGGTGGCATGCTTAACACATGCAAGTCTAACGGGAACTAGTGTTTCTAGTGGTGGACGGGTGAGTAATGCGTAAGAACCTGCCCTTGGGAGGGGAACAACAACTAAGAACAACTGCCAATACCCTGTAGGCTGTGGAACAGAAGGAGAAATCCGCCCGAGGAGGGGCTCGCGTCTGATTAGCTAGTTGATGAGGCAATAGTTTACCAAGACGATTATCCATATTCAGTAGCTAGTCCGAGAGGATGATCAGCCACACTCAAATCTGTAATATGATATAATATTCTAAGGTTTTTCTATGATATATATAGTTGAACTGATGCATGGAAGTAAAACTCTTAAAATTATAACGCAAGAACTGTAAATGTAAATACGAATATAAATTAAATCAGTGTAAAATACACTGGCACAATGTAACATTGTATCCAAACTTGATATTTGATGCGTGACATTATCATATAAATTAATTACCATATTATCTTGAGCAGAAAAAAAAAAAAGGTATCTAATTAATTAAACACCAGCCTCATAATTAAATATTTTAGTTGGCTAATGAACAAAAAGCTTTGCCATACTTAGAAACTATTTGCCCAATGCATGAAGGCAAAAACACTACACATAATCCAAAATTACACACTAAGATATTAGAAAAAATTAGTGACATTTGTCTCTAAAACTTAATTACTTAATTAAATTAATATTGAATTTAATTAAATTGAATTGAATTTAACCCAATTTCAAGTCCGAAATTTCCTTTAAATACATACCTCTCACTTGCTCATTTTCTCATTGTCAGAAACTCATCTTCTTGTTTTCATCATCACCTCCGTTTTGAGTTTCTTTGATTCTCTGCAACTCTTTTTGATTTTGTGTCGTTAATTTTTCTTTAGTTTTTGCCCTAGTTTTTCACCATGCAAGCAGAAGCAAGCTCTGCTGAAAGCAAACTTACTACTACTGCTAGTAACTCTGTCCTTGATATTGATGTCTACAAGTGCCAGAATTGTTCAAGGGTGTTCAAATCTAGCCGTGCTCGCGGTGGCCACCAGATCGCCCACAGGAAAAAAAGGCCTATCCGGAGGAAGAAAGGTGCGCCACCCATGAATCCCGTACTCGCTGCAGTTTTAGCCCATCACATTTCCTCAGACGAGGATGACGATGAACGTCCACCATCACCACCACGGCTCGCCAAAGCTCAGCCACCGGATGACGCTGCCGAGCTCACTTGCAAAAATGAATCGTCATCTTCTTACAAGCCTCAGGAGAAGAAGAAGAAGAAGCAGTTGCAGCTTCAGACCAAAGATCTTTTAGGGTTATGGAGCCCTAGGGCTGGATCTTCAAAGATGTTTTCATCATCATCATCAACTGAGAGAGTCACATTAGATCTTTTTACTCGAGAACCAGAGAAGGACGACGAGAGTGATGATTTGGACTTAGAGTTGAAGCTTCATTCTAAGAATGCTGAGAAAGTCAGCTTGAAGCTGAAATTAGGTTTTTGAAGTTCTAGCTTCAGTACTGAAAAATCTAGGGTTTCATTTTCATGAGTTTATCTTTAGAGTTGCAGTACTCAGTTCTCATTCAGCTTATTAATAAAAAAATAATATATGTTAATTAATTACTTCTTCTCTCTAATTAGAATTCAGAAAATTAATCTATATAATTAAGTGATTAATTTTCTCAGTATTAATTAATTATTGTCCTAATTAACTCAAATTTGCATCAAGTAAATAAAAAATGGTTATATATACTGGATCAAATCCATTATTTACAACAATATTTGATTAATTTCATCAGTTCATAAAAATAATAACTTAACAATGGTCGATCGATCGATCTCATTTTCTACTATTATTGTATTACAATTTTTTTTTCTTTTATATATTGAAAGAGAAATTAATAGAATGTTGCTCTATTGTTCACGTTTTCTAATTTCCAACGTAATACTATCAATTATATCCTTTTGAAAATAAATTAAATGAATAATTGAGTATTAATCATCATAAAATCTTTTTTCACTTTGGAAAAGTTTTGGGTTGGTACTTTAAATATAAGTCAAATATCTGGAAATTTTTTAGACACTCTTATCTTTTTAATAATACTAGATGTACAAACAAATCTTACAAAAATTTATGTACAAATTAATGTGGTATAAAATGAATGGAAGTGTGAATATAAAAAGTCAAACTTATCATATTCACTCTTCCATTTATTTTGTGTCATATAAGTTTGTACACAAATTTTGTAAGACTTTTTTATACATATAGCATTACTCTTATCTTTTACAAGATTCGGCAAATTACCGAACTATAAATTTATCGTGTTCCTGAAATACTAATGATGAATGTATGATTGAAAACTTCTATAACTACCATTGAAAATATGCTAAACGCAACAATAATGACCCCATGGACATGAGTTTCGAATCATGAATACAACAACCATAATGGATTTTACTACAATAGTCAACCAATTAATCTATATACTTTTCAATGAATATCTGATAATTAATTATATAATTTTAATGAAATCTAAGCGTTTGTTGTTACAGTATACGACAATTTCTAATAAAATAAAATGCTATTTAACTCAATATAATGCCATTTCCAAAGGAAATATCTCTCTTTTAATTGTTTTTTATATTGAAAAGGAAAAAAATCATCAATGTTATTTCAAAGCCTTTTCTAAATGGGAATTTCTCTTTTTCCTTTATTTTTATGAAAAAAAAAAAAAATATAATTATTAAAACACAATGTGGGGGCAAAATGGAAGAAGATTATTATATTTCTACCGTAACGGGGCAATTGCAACTGGGATTGCCTTAATTTAATTAATTAAAATTTCTTTTTCCATCAATTTCTGTGCCATTAATATTATTATTAATTAAGACAACAAAAGACAGTGCAGCAATTGAAAGGAAAATTAAATTAAAGAGGGTTCATGCATGTGCTATAATGACAGCCGGATCTTGTTTTTATCAAAAATTTGGAACAAGACAATGCTTTTATGTCATCAAAAATTTGCAGTTACAAATGTTTGTGTCACCTACATTAATTGCCACTGGGCAATATTATAAATGAGACAATAATTAACCAGTGCTTGCCCACTAATTTTAATTAATTTTAAGTCTAATATTATATGATTATATTTCCTTTCTTTTTTAAGAGAAATTGCCTCACAAAAGAGTAACATTTTATCCATTTAATAATAAGATAAGATAAATATTTATGTTATAAAAAAAATTGTTCATTTTTACCCACCCAAGGGTAGTAGAGATGGGTGTTTTACCAGCCCCGCTCGGGACTCGTCCCAAATGGATCGGGGATTCCCCAATTTTTTCAAGTATGGGGGCGGGCATGGGTAGAATTTTATTCCCCATTAACAGGTCGGGGTTGGGGGTATGTGTGTCCCCGCAGGTCCTCACCCCAACCCCGCACGAAAATATCCCTCATGTTGCTGCCCTCAAAAATTACCTGTCTACTTGAAAAAACCAGACTCGTAAATTACTTAACTTGCCCTGAAAAATCCTTGACAATTAAATTAAATATAAAATATAACTTCTTCTCAAACATAAATAAAATATAATGTCACTATTCATATTAATTTAATAATTGGTAAATTAAATATAAACTATTAACATAATATAATAGAAATTGAAACTCTTAATCTTAAATGTAAGACCAAGTTTAGTGTTACATAAAAATCGGAACTCTTAATCTTCAATTTATGAAATTATAAGTCAAAAACTTCAAAATGTCCAATGTCAAAATTTATTAAATTATTTATTTATTTGTTTTTTTGGAAGTAAGTTGATTAATATTAAACACATCCACAAATGATATATATATATAATATTAAATTAATTCTTGGCCTTGAACGTTAATCATAAGAGATATTGATTTTTTCATTGATTTCTTTTTCCTCTCCCGCCCCAACGCCCATCTCTATGCGACTACGCCCTAAACGTTTAGCCAAACTGATTTCCTTTTCCTCTACCGCCGCTGAAACACATTTTCCTTTTCCTCTGCCGCTGCTGAAACACATTTTGTCATTTTCCTTTTCCTCTGTCTCCGTTGAAACACATTTTGTCATTTTTCTTTTTCTTGCCGCCGCTGAAAAACATTTTTGATTTTCCTCTTTTTCATCACTGAAACCCATCTGCCTTCTCCGAGGCCATCGACGATGATGAGCTAAACATGGAATGGAATTTTATGTATGTCATTGCTGCCTTAATAGAACAAGTAAATTCCTCACCACCAAGTGATTTGCCAATAATGAGAAAATTTTGTTTTTCAAGTAATCTGTATTTACAAAATCAACATTGTTTGTAGTATTCCTTACAATATTAATTGCAAGATAATAATATTAATTTGGTTGATTAATGGATCTAATATGTTAGCAACTACATGATATTTGAGGGAAGAATCTAAGGCTTAGAAGTAATACTTTTTAGGTTTTATATTAGAGGGAAGAATCTAACGCTTAGAGGTAATACTTCTTAGGTTTTATATTGGTCAAATTTTGTGGGGCTTGTTTTGATAAAGTTTGGATGAGGGTAGATAGGTTTGTCATTTCTATCAGGCATTATTCATTTCAAACCTAGCTTTTCATATTTCATTTTAATCTTTACCCTTTCTACTATGTCCAGCGTAGTTTGTATAAAACTTGGTGCCTAAGCATGCTTATTCCTAATGTTTTTGTTGGTGTTTTATGTTGTATTCTTTTAGGTTTCACCATGTCCATTCAATACTCTTTACCTAGCAAAAGAAAGAGTCCACATGAGGAGGTCAATCCTAATTCCAAGTCATAAAAAAAAATATCGATTGCGAGTTCCCAAATGCCAACTCCAGCTGATGATAGTGACCAATTGCAATCCCTAGTTGATGAAGTTACTAAAGTAACCGAACCAATGCATTCAAATACTCCTTCAATCCCTATCAGAAGTGGAAAAACTAAGTTAGTTGTATGGTTACATTTCATGAAAGTAAAACTAGATGGCAAGGACAATGTAGAGTGTAACTATTGTCATAAACAGCTTGTAGGTGGTTCTAAAAATAGGACAAAACATTTGCATGATCATCATAGAAAATGCTTGCGGAGGTCTAGAAAGAGGGATCAAATAAGACATTAGAAAATTACCAATTTAATTAAGACGCAGGGAGAAAGGAGCTTGCGAGAATGATAATTCTATATGAGTATCTGCTTAGCATGGTTGACCATTCGAGGTTTAGAACATTTTGCAGCACTATTCAACCATTGTTCAATGTTGTCTCTAGGAGAAGTATTAGGAAGGATATTATGGAGATTTATAAGGTTGAAAAGGAGAAGACAATGAAGTTGTTAAACAAGAATTTGGGTAGAATTGCTACAATTTTTTATTTATAGACTACCAGTAATCAGAACAAAGTATATAAGACTGTCACAACACATTTTATTGATAACAATTGGGTGTTACAAACCTGACTTCTAAGGTATTGTATTTTTATAAGTTTTATTATTCTTATTTCCTCATTGATTTTTACATTTATATTAATGGTTGAATTATGTATTATTTATATTGGAGGTTTGTACATGTGTGTTGTCCCCATACTAGAGATGTGTTTACAACTGCTTTGATGGATTGTTTTTATGAGTAGAATATAGGTACTAAGTTGTTGACATTAACGGTTGATAATTGCTCCACTAATTATACGGTTGTCCAGGATATACTAGGAGAGCTTCCATGTTCCTCCCTTACGCTACATGGTGATATGCTTCATATGCGTTGTTGTGTGCATATTCTGAATTTGATTGTTCAGGATGGCTTATCAATTATTGGAGAATCCATAGCAAAAATCCGTGAAAGTGTTGCTTAGTGGACAGCATCACCTAAAAGGAAGCAAAAATTTGATGAAGTGGCACGTCAAGAAAAGATTGGAAGTACCAAGAAGTTGGCTCTATATTGCAAGACGTGTTGGAACTGAATGTATTTGATGCTTGAAATAGCTTTTATTTATAAAGGAGTATTTTCTCGTTTAAAGTATCAAGAACCACAGTATATATGTTTGCCAAGTGAGGAAGAATGGGAGTTGGCAGAGAACATTATTGAAAAGTTAAAAATATTTTTACGACACTATACTCTTATTCTCTGGAACTAAATATCCCATCGCCAACATTTATTTTCCCGAGATTTGTGAAATTGCAATGGAGTTGTCTAGATGGCTTACATGTGAAAATGCCATGAATGAACATGGCAGCACGGATGGACGAAAAGTTTTCCAAATATTGGGATGTGATTCATGGTGTTATGGTGGTTGCAATTGTATTAGATCCTAGATATAAACTAAAGTTGATAGATTTAGTCTTTCCCATTATCTATGGTGAAAATTATGGTCCACATGAGATTAGGAGGGTTCAAGAATTATTTAGTGATTTGTTTTTTGAGTATCAATCTAAACACAGAAGTTGTGAACCTCAACCCTCGTCATCTACAACTTCTTCTCAGAGATGTTCCTAATTCTAG